CTATTACTGAAAAAAATTTCCAATGAAACATATTGTTCTAAGAAACACCTAATGGGGCACCTGGGTGGCTCATTGGGGTAAGCCTCTGCCTTCTGCTCAGGTCATGATCTCAGGGTCTTGGGATCGAGCCCTGCATCCAGCTCTCTGCTCAGCAGGGAGCCTGCTTCCCCCTCTATTTCTCTGCCTGCCGCTCTGCCTACTTGTGATCTCTGTCTGTCAAATAAATAAATAAAATGTTAAAAAAAAGGAAGAAAGAAAGAGAGAAAGAAAAGGAAAAGAAAAGAAAAGAAAAGAAAAGAAAAGAAAAGAAAAGAAAGAAAAAAGAAAAAGAAACACCTGAAATGGCTAGCCAGATATTTAAAAGATGAGTCTGCCTTGTGGACAGAATGCTGAATCTTTTCTCATGCTGAGGTAGTGGTACAAAGCAGGGTTCAAGTCTCATCTGCAAATTTCCTAGGAGGTACGTTTTGGACAACTCTGACCTAATAATAGCTCCACTGAAAACATATCCATGGCTCCCACTGCCCTCAGAAGAAAGCAGAGGCTAATCAGACTTGAGGCAATTCACCCCCATTCTCCTGTCTCCCTCTGCAGCCTTATCTTTTGCCTTTTTCAAAACTTAGACTATGCTCTGGAAGTATTCCTCTCTCTCTTAGAAGCCTGTGTGTACCTTTAAGGTTTTCAATATCCAGTTTCCTTTTCCTGGGCCCTTCCTTCTTCTCTTCTCCTTCCTCTCTACTCGTTAGCCTATTCAAATCCAAATCTAATTCATCTTTCAAGCCTAGACTTAAATGTCATTGCCTCCAGACCTGGGCCACCAAGCCCAGATTAGGTGGTTCTGTGGACAGTTCTGACAGTGACCCTCACTGCTCCATGTGGTGCTGTCATGAGTGCTTGCTGTCCCCTCACATCTACAAGCTCCATGAGAGCAGGAGCCAAATCTGTTTTGTTCACTGGAGGGCCTATCACCAGGCTTGGCCCAGGTTAGGCAAGCCATAAATAATTCTTAAATTATATTTAATAAATTTAACTTAATAAACTTAACTTCTGAAATATAAAAGGGTACTAAGACTACCTGCCTTATAGGCTTGTCGTAAAGATTTTTTTTAAACAAAATATTTTATTCTTTTATCTAAGTTCTCATAGCCACTTCATAGCCCATCTTTATTTTTTTTATTATGTTAGCCACCATACAGTATATCATTAGTTTTTGATGTAGTGTTCCATGATTCATTGTTTGTGTATAATACCCAGTGCATCACTGGGCTAGCCCATTCCCCCACCCCCATCCCTTCTAAAACTCTCTTTGTTTCCCAGAGTCCATAGTCACTCATGGTTCATCTCCCACTACAATTTCCCCACACTTAGCTTTTCCCTTTCCTTCTCCTAATGTCCTCTATGCTATTCCTTATGCTCCACAAATAAGTGAAACCATATGATAATTTACTTTCTCTGATTGATTTATTTCACTCAGCATAATTTCCTCTAGTCCCATTCATGTTGATCCAAAAGTTGGGTATTCATCCTTTCTGATGGCTGAGTAATATTCCATTGTATATATGAACCACATCTTCTTTATCCATTCATCTGTTAAAGGGCATATCAGCTCTTTCCACAGTTTGGCTATTGCGGACATTGCTGATATGAACATTGGGGTGCACGTGGCCCTTCTTTTCACTACATCTGTATCTTTGGGGTAAATACCCAGTAATGCAATTGCTGGTCATAGGGTAACTCTCTTTTTAATTTTTTGAGGAACTTCCACACTGTTTTCAAAAGTAGCTGTACCAACTTGCATTCCCACCAACAGCGTAAGAGGGTTCCTCCTTCTCCATAACCTCTCCAACACTTGTTGTTTCTTACCTTGTCAATCTTTGCCATTCTGACTGGTATAAGGTGGTATCTCAATGTGGTTTTGATTTGAATCTCCCTGATGGCTAATGATGATGAACATTTTTTCATGTGTCTGTTAGCCACTTGTATATCTTCTTTGGAGAAGTGTCTGTTTATGTCTTCTGCCCATTTTTTGACATGGTTATCTGTTTTGTGTGTGTTGAGTTTGATAAGTTCTTTATAGATCCTGGATATCAGCCCTTTGTCTGTAATGTCATTTGCGAATATCTTCTCCCATTCCATGGGTTGCCCCTTTGTTTTGTTGACTGTTTCCTTTGCTGTGCAGAAGCTTTTCATCTTGATGAAGTCCCAAAAGTTCATTTCACTTTTGTTTCCTTTGCCTTTGGAGATATATCTTCAAAGAAGTTGCTGTGGCCAATGTTGAAGAGTTTACTGCCTATGTTCTCCTCTAGGATTTTGATGGATTCCTGTCTCACTTCAGAGTATAAGGGATAGAGGGAACACTCAATTTCATAAAATCCATCTATGAAAAATCGACAGTGACTATCATTCTCATTTAGGGAAAAGCTGAGAGCCTTTCCCTTGAGATCAGGAACATGACAGGATGCTCACTCTCTCCACTATTGTTCAACATAGTACTAGAAGTCTTAGCAACACCAAGTAAGACAACAAAAAGAAATAAAAGGCATTTAAATTGGCAAAGAAGAATTCAAACTCTCTTTCTTCACAGAGGACATGATACTTTATGTGAAAACCCAAAAGACTCTATCCCCAAATTACTAGAACTCATACTGCAATTCAGTAATGTGGCAAGATACAAAATTAATGCACAGAAATCAGTTGCTTTCTTATACACGAACAATGTAACTATAGAAAGAGAAATTAGAGAATCGATTCCATTTATAATAGCACCAAAAACCATAAGATATCCTGGAATAAACCTAACCAAAGAGGTGAAGGATCTATATTCTAGGAACTATAAAACACTCATGAAAAAAATTTAAAAAGACATGAAAAGGTGGAAAAACATTCTATGCTCATGGATCAGAAGAATAAACAGTGTTAAAATGTCTATGCTGCCCAGAGCAATTTATAATTTCAACACCATCTCAATCAAAAAAGTGCTGGAACAAACAATCCTAAAATTTGTATGGAACCAGAAAAGATCCCAAATTGCCAAGGAAAAGTTGAAAAAGAAAAACAAAGTTGCAGCATCACATTGTCTGATTTCAAGCTATATTACAATGCTATGATCACCAAGACAGAAAGGTACTGGCACAAAAACATACTCATAGGTCAATGGAACAGAATAGAGAACCCAGATATGAACCCTCAACTCAGTGGTCAACTAATATTCAACAAAGTAGGAAAAAATATCCGGTAGAAAAACGACAGTCTCTTCAACAAATGGTGCTGGGGAAAATGGACAGCTATATAGAGGAGAATGAAACTTGACCATTCTCTCATACCATACACAAAGGTAAACTCAAAATGGATGAGAGCTTGTTGTAAAGATTAAATGGAATGACATAAACAAAGCATCCATATTGTGCCTTGTACAGATTATGTGTCCAATAAATGTCTTGTTATTTTTATGTCTATTCTAGAACTCTCCGCCACTCCTGCTCACTCCTCCCACTCTAGAGAGCCTCTTGATTTTTCTTTAAAATGCTTCATGACTATAAAGCTCCTGTAGGTTTTTATCCACACTGACAGGTTTTTTAACATGCCAATGAATTGAGTACAGACATTGAGTTTCCAGTGAATCATTCTGGTAACTGTCTCCTTTCAATTGTCTGATACTAAAAATAACCATGTGTGTCAATTTGTACCCAAGATGTTTTTTTATCTGGTATGATAAGATAACAGATATAGTGACAACTGCTTTTGAAAGAATAGTTTAGTAACATTTCCCACAAAAAGGGGACATGAGACATCACAGGATCACATGGGGGAGTGCCACACTCAGTCAGGAGGCAGAAGCGAAGCAAAAGCCCAGGCTATAGCTTTTACTGAGGTTTCCACAGGAAAGGCAAGGCAGGGTAGGGTAAACAGCTTAGAACTGGCTAGTCTGAATAATTCCAGCAGGCTTTAAGCCTAAGGGCTGTCCCTAGCTGTCTAGTATCTGGACTGGGTTGATTTGGGGCAGGGGAAATATTTGCTTGGAGAGAAATTAATTAACCCTGGGAAGGGCAAGCTCTTCCAGCCAGCAAGGATACCCAAGATGTCAAAACATCATAAAATCTAGAAAATTTTAAAAAAACATAATTAATATACCATACTCCATTGCAAGAGGGAATGACACTTTATCTTTGACCTTTGTTCCATCATTTATTCTATTGTAACCTTTAATAACATTGCTCTTAGGATAAAACATGCTGGGCTTTTTAATCTCTTCTATTCCAATCTTGACAAAACTTATAATTGCCTTTGCTGCCCTTCCTCAATCTGCTAATTAAAACAGCCTAAGGGGGTGCCTGGTGGGCTCAGTCAGTAGAACATTTGACTCTTAATCTCAGGGTTATAAGGTCAAGCACCACTTTGGGCTTGGAGCCTACTTAAAAGAAATAAATAAATAAAAATAAAACAGCCTAAGGATACCTTTATCTCTAATAAGAACTTGACTTTTGTCTATGAATACCTTATGTTAGACCTACTTTTCCTTTGTCTAACACAGACATCTTCTTTCTTGCACAAAAGAAACAGCATTATTGTATTGTTAATATATTTGTCAGACATGTTAATTGCATAATGCTGAGATCGATGTTGAGGCAAGCTTTCTTTTGGGGGGAGTGAATGATTCAATGACTATATGGGTTGAAGTTATTTGGAACTGGGAATGTGTTTTAAAGATTTGGGGCGCCTGGGTGGCTCAGTGGGTTAAAGCCTCTGCCTTCGGCTCAGGTCATGATCCCAGGGTCCTGGGATCGAGCCCTGCATCGGGCTCTCTGCTTGGCAGGGAGCCGGCTTCCTTCTCTCTCTCTGCCTGCCTCTCTGCCTACTTGTGATCTCTGTCTGTCAAATAAATAGATAAAATCTTTAAATAAATAAATAAAAGATTGGTTTCTCACTCATATTCTCCCTTCTCTCCTCTTTCTCTTTTCCTCTCCCCTTCTGAACCTTACTACCATTTGTCTTTGTTTCTTTAAGATTCCCAGCCAGTCAAATGCCCACTGCAGCTCAGTACCGACTGGAGACCAGTCCCTATCCTATATCCATGGCTTCCCCAGAAGAAATATGAGAGACTGGCCCTTGGAACAAATGGCAAGGGACATTTCTGCCCAACCTGTCGTACCTATACTAAGACGGGACTTGTTTTCTATTGTGAATGAAGGGTATTATTTGATGCCTGTAGATTCTAATGTGGAGCAGATGAGAACTCCTGAGAGGATGGACTGGGGGACATTAGAGGCCCTATGTCCAATCAGCTGCAAGAAGCTAAGCTCTCTGGTGAGCTCAAAGACAAAGCTCCTATTTCTCAACTGAACTTCTCATCTTTCTCCATCTTTCTCCTACCTTCTTCCTCCCAGATCCAAAGGGTCTCTAAGACGTGGCATTCTAAATTCCCTTTTAATTAAAAAAATAATTTACAGAAGACCTGTGCTATAACTTAAGGAGCCTTCCAACAAGAGTATGCACTCTAAAATGATTTGCTTCTTTCCTTCTCCCACAGGCAAAGGTCCTGAGGCATTGCAAACTGAAGAATACACCCAGACTGAACATCTGCCTCCAGTGTTACCAACTTTCCCTGTTCTAGGCCAGGCCTGCAAGTGGGTGCTCTGCTACCAGCCCCACTAGGCTTCTGCTTCCTTGCATTGGCCTTCAGGCTTTTTCTTTTAGACCCCTGTTAATTTACTATTGCTGTTGCTCTTAGGTCAGGATTTTGACCAGAAGCCAAGTGGAACAACAAGAGAAGATGCTTTCCTTCTTGCCCTTGTCAGAAAAGAGCTCAGATGACACCCTTTGAGCTCTGGCTTACTACAAAAGCTGCAGAAAGAGCTGAAGACCCTGGATCCTATCGCTTCAGGATTTCTTCTCCAATCTCAACTGAGCTGCATTTTCTTGAGGCATGAAGTTCCTCTACAATTAATAACAGTCAAGATCCTTTGCCAGAAATTTTCTAGGAGGGACTCTCCAGAAATGGTATAACCATGTTGCTATTTTAAGTGCAGTTTCCTGGGGCACCTGGATGGCTCAGTGGGTTAAGCCTCTGCCTTCAACTCAGGTCATGATCTCAGGGTCCTACGATTGAGCCCTGCACTGGGCTCTCTGCTCAGCAGGGAGCCTGCTTCCTCCTCTCCCTCTGCCTGCCTCTCTGCCTATTTGTGATCTCTTTCTGTCAAAAAAAAAAAAAAAAGTGTGGTTTCCTTTTGTTTATTTTACTTGTATCCACTAGAGTAATAGAATTTAAAGGTTGGTTTCTTTTTAAAAAATAACCTTTACTATTAAGCCCTAAGATACAAAGCTTATTTTTATTCATATGTGGAATTCTCTAGTCAGAATAGACAAGAATAGAAAATGGATTGTCTCAGCCCTATTTGATTTCTTTTTCAAAGACTTCTCTGTCCTGACTTTCATTGTCTGCTCTTAGCAATATTGAGGTGGTTACAGATTTAGGATAATGGGCTCACTTGAGTCTCATTGACAAGTTGGTCAGTCTGTAAGTTGTGAGATAAGAACGGTGAATTTGACTAGGATGTATCAGGACAGTTCCTAGAGAGTTACAGGTGGGAGGTATCTTTGAAATATAATATAACCACCATTTTTCTAATTAGGAAACCAAGACCCATAGTTGGGAAGGAAATAGTGCAGCACACCCAGAGAATTAATAGCAGACCCAGGGCAGAGATAAAGGCTACCCAGTGACAAGTCCAGGGCACTTGCTCTGAGCACTGCACTTTCCAAGCTTACATTTGTGGGTGGATACAAAGCACAGTCCAAGAGCAACCAAATTTTAGAGGAATATATTCTACGATAGGAAAAAGTAAGAGCAGTGGGTAAATCATGAGTGAGCATGTGCTGATAGAAAACCAGGCCAAAATCAACCTCATAGGGGTACTATGAGAATTTAGTAATATAATAAATATAAATTACCTGGTCATGTGCTTAGCATTCAGTAGGCACTCAAATAAATGTTGGTTGTCCCTCATGCCCATCTCTAACCAACTATAATTTGTTGTATACTGATGATAAGTATTTAGTGATACAATGTCACTTAGTACAACCACTATGAATCTTCAACTTCATTCTCTGGTGTGAGACCAAGTTTATATCAGAACCTTATATAGCTTCCCTCCCCAACTGTTACCTCCTCCAGCACCGTGGAGTTGTCTGCCCACCAGAGGTCCCTAGGATGTCATCTAGACCAGAAATGGAAATAGACAACATCCCTTCAGTCCTTTCCTGGGGGGAAAGAGTTGGGGAGGGGGAGGTTCTTAAGATTTTTCACTTAGCTTAATAAGGCCTTTTTCTCAAATAATCTGAATATATCTGTTGGATATATCTAAATATAAGCCTATGCTATACATAACAAATTTATAAGAGATGTGAGAGAGACAGAAGCTAAAGGCTAGGTTAGGCTATAGTAACAAATAGTGTCAGTGGCCCCAAACAACAAAAGTTTATTTCTCACTTACATTTCTATAATAAGTCAGCAACCATATTGTCATCTTATCTCCAAAACCCAGGCTGATGAAGCAGTGACTCTGGTATATTTTGGGATGGGCTGGCAGAGGGGAAAAAAGAAGGCTCTAGAGCATCTCGTGTGAGCAGTTTAATCCTCAGCCAGAAGGAGCACACGTCACTTCTGCTCATGACTCATTGGCTACAAATGTTCCCATGGCCCTTTCCAATCACAAGGCAATCAGGAAGGGAGAATAATAGGAATAGTTGGTAAAAAGCACTAATAATTATTATACTCTATTTTTAAAGCCAGTTTAAAAAATTTTACTGAAAGGGGTTTTTTGAAGATTTTATTTATTTATTTATTTGAGAGAGAGAACACAGGTAAGAGGGGGCAGAAGGAGAAAGAATCTGAAGGAGACTCTGTGCTGAGCTTGGAGCCCAATGCAGGCCTCGATCTCATGACCCTGAGATGACCTGAGCTGAAACCAAAAGTTGGACACTTAACTGACTGAGCCACCCAGCTGCCCCTTCATAAATTCTTTTATTAAAACATTCCCAAATGCTCTATCTCAACTGGCATTTCCATTACGGGCGTTTCTTCCTCTTACATATACACTAAATGAGGATGTTCTGTTTCCTATTGGATTTTCAGGTGAATTATGGAAAGCTCCTCTGGTTTTTAAAAGCTGCAGCTTCCAATGATCCACCGCAAAGCAAAGAAGCTGTGGGCAGCAAACCGAGGAAATCTCAGGGTTGTCATCATCATGGCTAAAGGTTCTTTCTTTCTTTCCTTGGGCATAGTGTTCCTAGGCTTCTAGAACAGGTGGTAATTTTTCAGGTCATTTACCCGAAAAGTTCACCCAATGTAGAATCACTGTGCCCTTCACCAACAGCCATCTTATGCTTGTCATTTCCCCTCTCTCTTGTACACAGGCCAGCACAGAAATTTGTTTGCAACAATTGCACAGGTTTCTTGAGATCAAGCATGTGTCTTTTTTTAATGAGGTTGCCATGTGACAATGAAAACCCTCATGGAATAAAAAACGATCATACACTGGTGCAGAACTCCAGTCTATAAAATGTGACTCCAAAACTATGTTCGGTCAATGAACTCCTGGTTTACAGGCACTAGCAAAGAAGGGTTTCAGGTACCAGAATCAATAATGTAATCTAAAGGGTAAGAAATGACATAAAGTAAAAATAGGATGTGAGGAGTATCTTCAGAGAGGAGGCACAATAGAGTGTGCTAGTCTCTGTGTTCTCCAAGGAAGTTGATAAACTACAGAGGTTGGGAGCATAGCCTCCATTACCAGACACCCAAGCTCAACCCCTGTTTCTGCCAATTAATGGCACTGTAACCTTGGGCTAGTCACTTACCCTCTCTGTGCGTCTGTTGTGAAATGAGAGTCATAAGAGATATCCCTTCACTTCATAGATCTTGAGAGTAACTTAACCGATGCAAAGTTCTTAAAAATAGTATCTGATACATAAGGAATGCTATATAGGAATTTTTAAAATTATTTTTAAACTATCTTACCAGAAGACACTCTTTTCGGTTACAAATAATGGGACATTGTAGTTAAGAGTCACCTTATTGGAATTTATCCCTTCACTCTAGTATAGTAGTTTCCTGTAAAAATGGCCCCGGGTCAAGTGTCAGACTTGCTTCCTTTCTACAGTGTGCCCTTTTCATGCCTTTTTATATTCATTGAATACCAGCTGCTGACCAGGTGAACTTTGCTTAGCACAGTGAATGCAGAGGTTGGCAAGGTCCAATCTTTCCCTCAAGGCTCAAAGTGCAAAGAAAGACACTGTCAGGTAGGTATACCAGTCAAATATCTGGGGGCAGCTGTCCTACGAGGGCCGCGAAGTCCCAGAAATATTTAATAGTCAGCAACCACACTTCATAAAGCACAAACCATGAGATCTGGGCCCTGCGAGGTGGCAGACTATGCATTAAAGACATGGCTACCCACTGGCAGATATGGGTCTTAGGAGTGCAGGACAGGATGGCATTCCTGAGCCCTAGACTAGATTAGATCTCTCTGTCACTCTGTGGTATGGTCCCACCATCCTTTCTCTTTCTGACAGCCATTGTACCTGTAACTACTCCCTTGACATTTGAGGTTAGTAATAGTGTCTACCCTGGCCAACTCAGTATTTAGCATTGTTCCCAGCACAAGGTAGACACTCACTGAGTATTGTTTAATGTAATTGGCACCTCCAATGATCCACTTGCAGAGACATCTGGATACCTACTCTATAAAAATGGTGTGCACATAGGGATCACTTTGAACTCATGGGATAAGGTGCTGCTTGATACAAACCAGACAGTGTATCTGTGGAAGTGCAGAACTGATGGCCTATCATGAACCCAGGTTCTTTGTTAATTACCATGCTGCAGAAAAAGGCCCCCCCCCATGTTCTGTCAGGAAGAGACTTTAGGGGGGCAGCTCTGTGATGTTTAAAAAGCCTCCACCATCACCTGTGGCAACAAGCATGGCAACAGCTCTCCTTACCGAAGTTGGACCAGATGAAACAATGTCCCACAGCCCGTTTCCTAAGAAACCCCACCAGCTGAAGCAAATGGGTTCCATACAACTCCTGCCCATTTTGTAGTTGCTGTTCAGAGACAGGGACCAAAGGTTCATGAATTCCTACACCCAGGAACTGGCATTGCAAGAAAAGGAAAGAGGAAGGAAAACTGGCGATTCAGATCTGGGACAGATACATCTTATGGCCAAGGTCTTGGTCATGTGCTCTCTCAGCAAAGAGAGCCTTATAAAGCACATAGTTGGCATTTTCCTCCACTAAACTGAGAGATTCCTGAGCTGGAGAACATTCTGAATGGGGAAGGAGGGTGTAGAAACTATGTGACCTAAACAAAGTTAAACAGCCACTCCTTCTTTCCTGTACTAAGCTTTCAGAAAATATGAGCTATTAGGCCAAAACTCGAGTAAAAGTCACAGAGCAAAAAGAGGATAGAGGGGCACCTGGGTGACTCAGTTGGTTAACCAACCACATCTTGATTTCAGCTCAGGTCATGATCTCAGGGTCGTGAGATTGAGCCCCACATCAGGTATTGCACTCAGCAGGGAGTCTGCTTGAGATTTTCTTCCCCTCCCTCCGTCTCTCCCTCTGCCCCTCATCCTGCTCACATATACTCCCTCCCTTCCTCTCTCTCTCTCTCAAACAAAATCCTTTAAGAAAAAAAGAAAATACAATATGACCTCTAGTAAAGGTTAAATACATATAAAAATAATCAATTCCATGTACTGTACAAGATCCTCAGGAAATAGTAAGAAACAAAACAGACTTGAACCACATCTGATGGAACAGTCTAGTAGGGAAATCAGACATGAAATAATAGGTAAAGAAATAAAAATGTGATTGCAACCTGAGGAAGACTTATTAAGGAAAAGAAGAAGGAATTATGAAAGAGCTGATCAAGCACGAGGTGCTAGAGCACCACTGAGGGCCAATTAGGAGCACCCCTTCCCAGATCCTTATTCAGTGACATCCTCTTCTTTTTTTAATTGTGTTATGTTAGTCACCAAAAAACACATCATTAGTTTTTGGTGCAGTGTTCCAAGATTCATTGTTTATGTACAACACCCAGTGCTCCATGCAATACATGCCCTCCTTAATATCCACCGCCAGGTTCACCCATTCCCCCACTCTCCTCCTCTCTAAAATCCTCAGTTTGTTTCTCAGAGTCCACAGGCTCTCATGGTTCATCTCCCCCTCCGATTTCCCCCAATTCACTTTTCCTTTCCTTTTCCTAATGTCCTACATGTTATTCCTTATGTTCCTCAAGTAAATGAAACCATATGATAATTGTCTTTCTCTGTTTGACTTATTTCACTGAGCATAATCTCCTCCAGTCCCACCCATGTTGATTCAAAAGTTGGGTGTTCATTCTTTCTGATGGCTGAGTAATATTCCATTGTATATATGGACCACATCTTCTTTATCCATTCTTCTGTTGAAGGGCATCTCAGCTCTTTCCACAGTTTACTATTGTGGCCATTGCTGCTATGAACATTGGAGTACATATGGCCCTCCTTTTCACTACATCTGTATCGTTGGGGCAAATACCCAGTAGTGCAACTGCTGGGTCATAGGGTAACTCTATTTTTAATTTTTTGAGGAATCTCCACACTGTTTTCAAAAGTGGCTTCACCAACTTGCGTTCCCACCAACAGTGTAAGAGGGTTCCTCCTTCTCCACCACTTCACCAACACTTTTTGTTTTTTACCTTGTCCATCTTTGCCATTCTAACTAGTGTAAGGTGGTATCTCAACGTGGTTTTATTTGAATTTCCCTGATGGCTAAGGCTCCACCCCCAAATTACTAGAACTCATACAGCAATTCAGTAATGTGGCAGGGTACAAAATCAATGCACAGAAATCAGTTGCTTTCTTACACACTAACAACATAACTGTAGAAAGAGAAATTGGAGAATCAATTCCATTTACAATAGCATCAAAAACCATAAGATATCTTGGAATAAACCTAAGCAAAGAAGTGAAGGATCTATATTCTAGGAACTACAAAACACTCATGAAAGAAATTGAAGAAGACATAAAAAGATGGAAAAACATTCCATGCTCATGGATCAGAAGAATAAACATTGTTAAAATGTCTATGCTGCCCAGAGCAATCTATAATTTCAACGCCATCTCGATCAAAATACATTTTTCAAAGTGCTGGAACAAACAATCCTAAAATTTGTATGGAACAAGAAAAGACCCCAAATCACCAAGGAAATGTTGAAAAAGAAAAATAAAGCTGGGGCATCACACTTGATTTCAAGCTATATTATAAAGCTGTGATCTCCAAGATAGCATGGTACTGGCACAAAAACAGACACATAAATCAATGGAACAGAATAGAGAGCCCAGATATGGACTCTCAACTCAGTGGTCAACTAATCTTCAACAAAGCAGGAAAAAATATCCAATGGAAAAAAGACAGTCTCTTCAACAAATGGTGCTGGGAAAAGTAGACAGTTATATACAGAAGAATGAAACTTGAAAATTCTTTCACACCATACACAAAGATAAACTCAAAATGGATGAAGGACCTAAATGTGAGACAGGATCCATCAAAATCCTAGATAAGAACATAGGCAGTAGCCTCTTTGACATCAGCCACAGCAACTTCTTTCAAGACATATCTCCAAAGGCAAAGGAAACAAAAGCGAAAATGAACTTTTGAGACTTCATCAAGATCAAAACCTTCTTCACAGCAAAGAAAACAGTCAACAAAACAAGAGGCAATCCACAGAATGGGAGAAGATATTTGCAAATGACATTAGAGACAAAAGGCTGATATCCAAGATCTATAAAGAACTTCACAAATTCAACACCCAAAAAACAGAGAAACATGTCAAAAAATGGGCAGAAGACATGAATAGACACTTCTTCAATGAAGACATACAAATAGCTAGAAGACACATGAAAAAATATTCATCATCATTCAGTGACATCCTATTGGCAGCTTGAAGTCATCCATGGTGGGAGTACTTACACCATGAAAATCAGTAATGCAATAAATTAGGGCATTATCTTTGAGAGCAGGTTATTAAGGTTTATTGACACATCACTGAAAAGAAGACGATTTACAGGAGTGGAGGCTTGGAGATGTCACAGATTGTCCTTGTAGGGAAGTGGCACGTTATGTTAAGACAGTGGAAATCAGGAAAAGCTTCACTGCCAAGAAGATAGCTGGATCCAGAAGGAGACATCACTTGAATGCTAAATGAGTAAACATCTCAAACTAGTTTCATAAAATAAATGATTATAATGCTTTATCACCTATCATGGGTTTTCACCTATCATTTAAAGTTACAATAGTCAGTGAGATAAACAATCATAATAATTAGAAACATTTGCAAAATCATTACTTCCAAAACTTTTCTGAGTTTTCCAGATACTAATTGCAGAGTCAAAGATAACATGGGAAGTTCACTTGATTCAAGATTTCCTTCTATAGAAGGAAATCCATGGTTATAGGGATCTGGCCGGATCCACTTTGCTTTGCATGTGGCAAGGGACAGTTTGGAAATTTGAATTGCCATCAACAATTATATGGGCTTAAGAGAAGTAAGCTCAAGCAGCTAAAGTAAACTACTGTGGTCACTTGTAATTTTTCTTCTCAACTTGGAAAAAAGAGTGAGAGAGTGGATTACAAGTTTTGGTTTATGTTCTAGCCAAATTCATTGGTGCCTCCTGGAGAAGAGGCTCTAGTGGTCAGTAGAATAGAACAGATTGGAGATAATCAATGAAATCTCCATGCAAAGACCCCATGATCAGGTTCTTGAGATCTAGAAGCCCTTACTGGGTGGGTTCTCTGGGTTCGTGGTGTATGTCAGGACTGAGAAATGTGGTATGAAAACACAGCAGCTTTGGGAGGTTCATGTGTCACAGATTTTCCCCTGCCCCTCCACAGAGTACTCCTCCTCCAGAGGCCAGCCCACAGTCATAAGTGGGCGAGAACCTACTGGAGATCCTGATGGCACTAAGGACAATCCAAGGCAAACTCGACATAGAGGGCCTCAGTCTGAATTTCCAGAAGGAAAACCACTCTTTCTCTGGCTCCCTGCCCCCACCCAAGATAGCCAAAATTAAAGTTCCAGTGTGTTCGTCTCCAGAGTGCACCTCAGGATCTAGCAGAAAGCACAGCTGTAATCTGTGTTCTGCCCGTGGATCACATTATACAATTGTTTGTTTTCTGTGCCTGAAAGGAGAAAAACAAAAGGAGAAAGGAATTGTAGAATGGGCAGAATTGGTCCAGGAATTACTTGGGCTGGGATATGTTCTATGTTAATAATAGAGAATATGACAACACTCAAATACTATTTCACAATGGAAAACAAACAATTTTTCCAAGGCCAAATGTTCATTTCTCACATGCTCTACCAGCTTCCAGTGATATCAGCATGTGGTATCCCATTCCTTAGGAACACTGAGTTTTTAGGAACTAATGTGATTTATTGCTGATAGAGATTAATGTGCTGTTTTGGAGAATTAACAGTGCAGATGTGTTTTATGGAAGAGGATACAGAACCACATAAACTCAAGTGTTGTCTTTAGCCAAAGAAACCCTAGTCATAAGGCTAACTTGAATACAGGTGAAATAATAATTACAATTATTACTACAATTCCATCAATAACAACTTATCACCACCACTTTATTGAATTCTTACTAAGCAAGTGCCAAACCCTGCACTAAATGCTTTATTTACTTTCTCTCATTTAACATTTACAGACAACTATAAAATCCAGATGGATGTTATAATACCAATTTAATGAAAAATACTGAGTCTCAGGGCAGCCAACGGAATCATCCAAGGGCCACAGCTAGCAAGTAGCAGAGCCAGGGTTCAAAGTACAGAAGAGTACTGGATATTGAAAGTCAGAATTGGAACTCTATTCACCAAAAGATACCTGGAATTATCCATTGAGTCAAGGATGTAAGACTTAGAATTCCAGAGGAGTAGAAGGGATTTACAATTGTGGGGTGGGGGGAGTAACAAAGAATGTGCTAGAGAAAAGATTGGAAAATACCTTTCATCTAGGTAAACAAGAATTAGAATGGAGAGAATTAAGAGGAATACATGACATTTATTAAGGAAGCAAGGACACAGGATGCTGGAAGTAGATTCTTATTCCAGGACAGAAGCAGCTTTTTTTATGCTTTCATACAAAAGCAAAGGTCATGATCGTGTGTACATGTGTCTGTTATGTATGTGAATATTACACATGCAAGCATGTTTCCCTGGAGAGCACACTGTAGAAGTTTCCACACAACATAAATGGCTTTTATTATGTTCATAAGATCAGTGGAAATAGAATAAGAAGCAGCAATTGTTTGTTAGATTGGAAATTACATGACACCATCAATGAAGCCTGTATGTTCTCAGGTGATGTTAGCAGAATAACACATAAATAACTTGTGAGTCAAAATAAATTTGCTTAAACTCTTTTGAGTCTTCAGATTTTTCAGCTGGGAAAAAAACTATTTCCTGTATCTGTTGTGAGGATTAAACAAGATAAGTGTGTGAAGGCACTTCCCACACTAATATAGGAGGCACTCAGTAAACACTAGTTTCTTTCTCTTCTAATAAAAAAAAAATCAGTATTTGGTTAAATTATTACTCAAAATAGCCCGAGGAAGAAGGATATTTCCAGGGTCAAGTGATGGCCACATTGAGCACTGGCTATGAGAGCTGGCCCTGAAAGCTTAAATTTGTGGTTCATGTCCAAAGAAATGGGGCACATTTTCCTTGAAGCTGGTCTGTCTCTTTTGAGCCATCTGGCATCTCTTAAGACATCTGGAACTCACTCAGAGTATATTGCAATCTGGGAGGCATGTAAAATAGAATTCTGTTTCCCCAGAACATGAGACAAATTGAGGCCCAAGGGACATTGGATACAAAAAGCAGCAGCAGCTGTACCCTCACATTCATGTTCCTGAACATAGGACTTCAGGGTAGACTGGGAAAGGCTACGAGTTGGAAGGGCTTCTCTTTTTGAACAGCAATTTTTAATCTCCTTGGAGTGTAGGGGAAAGAATCACAGGCTTCTTAAGTTTCTCATGAAATCTACATTCCCTGTGCCCTTGCAGTGTGTGTGTGTGGCAGGGGGTGCCACCCTTGCAGCCATTTCAGAGGGCTCACAGATCATCTGTAGCTTCTCAGATAAATAAATGTAGTCTCGAAGGATAGATAATCTTGCATCTTGCCACTCAAATGAATGAAATTTTGCCATTCTCAAAGAATAGTCTAAAAACATGTCAAATATCTACCATCCCCATTCCGTGGACTCACACCTCCTGTTCCTCTAGTTCAACTTTGATGCAATGATGGCTTCTGGCAGGACTGCTGGGGCAACATAGATCCTCATCCAGTGTTCTGAGCACTATGATAAGCCACCAAGGACAAGAGACTATTATGAACTCAGTTCCTGAGTTCTCCAGGAGCTCAGGGGAAAGGGACCATTTTAAACATGACATAGTTCTGTATGACAAATGCAGTGACGGCAGTAACTTGGAACACAGCAAAGAACAACAACATAGCCCGGCTCAAAACCCATACAGAGGAGATGATGCAAATACTAAATCTTACAGGACAAGTGAATTTGGCAAAGAATTAGGAGGAAGGGCAGAGGAAATGATGGGAAAAGTATTCTAGGTAAAAAGAACAGTGTGGAATGGGACTGAAATAAGAGAGCGCACAACTAATTCAGGAAACTGGAAGTCATTCATATAGACAGAATATAGTGGGTGTGTGGTGGCTGGGGATGGTGGGAGATGCTGCCCAAGTTGACGTTAGAAAGGAAAGTTGGAGCCAATTTATGACGGGTCTTTCTAAGGAGCTGAACTTTGTCCTGAAGGCCCAAAAGGATCATCACAGTATATTAAACAGTGAATGATATGATCAAATTTGAAATTTGGAAAAAGCACTCTAATGGAATGTGAAGAATCAGAGGCAAGGAGACCCTTTAGAAGGCTATTTCAATAATTCAAGCAAGAAATTAGGAGGTTTTAAACCAGGATGTTAACAGGAGAGATAGAGATATTAAGGAGGTAGGAGAGTATATCTTGGTGACTAACTAGATATGGGCCCTGAATTAGGAAGATCCAAAGGACTCCCAGAGTTCTGGCCTTGGCAACTTGGTGAGTGGTGGTACCATTCTCTGTGATAGAAAACCGACAAGGAGTAGCTTTGGAGGGATGGGGGATAGGATGAGGGGCTCAGTTTTAAACACTTTGTTCTGGGTTGAGACATTAAAGCTAAATAATGATTTAAAGGTCTTTAATATACAGTTGAAGCCATGGGAGTAGTCAGGGTTACCCAAGGATGTAATGGAAAGTGAGAAGAGAAAATAGAGAACACTAATTGTTAAGGAGTAGGTAGAAGAGAAGCCAACAAAGGAGACTAAAAATAATCACAAGAGGCATGGGAGTGGTCAAGAAAGCCAAAAAAGAGATTTAAAGAAGGATGGCATGATCGGTCATGTTATATGATGTGAAGAGACAATCTATAATTAGGACTGAAGGGTACTCATGCAATTTCAAACCATGGAAGTTACCAGTGACTTGGCAAATACAGTTAAAGTACAGTGATGGGGTAAAATGCAAATGGAGCTTTAAGTGGGAAGAGAGGAAGTTGAGAGAGCATCTGTGCACCACTCTTTCAAGGAGCATTTTGGGGAAATGAATATTTATTTCACATGTCATTTTCTAAATAACATAGACATTTTATTTACATTTGATTAAAAAACATTTCCTTACTAAACAGAAGAAACTACACATAATGAAATGTTTTCTTTTTGAACAAGGGTCATCATTATGAAATTCAAGCTTTAAGCAATTTTAGTAATAATCCTGAATAACACTAAGTTGCCAGGATTCTGGTAGATGTTTTTTTGCTCCTTTATAACAGTCAGCTCTTAGCAGCCATCAATCAATCTGCTTCTAGGAACCCTGATGTACTATTTCTAATCTGCTGTTCATTTTAGCCTAGAGCAAAACTCAGTGTTGCCAGAAGTAAATGAACTGTTTTTAGAATAACCTCTTACACTGATGTTTAAAAATACATTAATATGCTATAACCCTGAGGATAATTCAATTTTTATTTAAGGAGTAAAATGGCATAATGTGACTAATTTCTACCTCTCTAAATTTATTTTTGCCACTCTCTGCCTATACACACTCTACTCTTTACTGTCTTCAACTCATTCATTCACTTCCTTGTTCATCTATGTATTTGTTTGTTCAATAATTATTGATATTTTATTTTTCAACGTGGTGCTAAACAAATGGCCATTCAAAAATGAATGAAACACAACTGCAGGCCTCACTAAGCCAGTGTCTTTTAAAGAAACTCTAGTGACCACATCATTACTGCCCAGCCTGGAAAAGGGTATAAAACTATAGTAGAATGGATAATGTCAAAATATATGCAGTTTCTAAAAAGTACCATACTCTATCTCATCCATTAATCACACATGATTTTCTTCTGCTTGGAATTTTCCCTGACCCCTTATTCTTCTGTAAACTCTTACTCGTTTTTTGTTTTTTGTTTTTTGTTTTTTTCTGTTCCAAACTGATCTTCTTTCCTCTGTTAAGCATCCCTGACAGGACTCCTCTATACCTAGGAAGTAACAAGTACAAGTGTTGAACCTAGATGTATTGTTTGTTTCCTTCCATAAAGATAAAGATTAGTTTTTATGTCACTGTTTTACAGTTTAGGTTTTATTATTATTCTGCTATGTTCCAACCAACAGATCAGGAGATGAGTGCCACTGAAGAGACAGTTTGTTATACACAGCTTCCAAGGCAAGGGAGCATGGCACACCCACACAGGCTCCACCAGAAGCAGCAGGGTTGGTCAGGAGGCAGAGGGGATGAAGGGAAAATGTGGACAGGACCCCTTATTGTGGAATAGGAGAGGCAGGGTAAACCAGTTTAGGATTGGCTAGTTTGAATAATTTCAGTGATCTCTGGGGCATAGAGGCTGTCCCTAGTTGCCTAGTACTTGACCCTGGGGTGATAAGGGTAGGGAAATAGTGGCCCCTGTGCGAGAGCCCCCCTCCCTCCATAAAAGAAGAGGTTGCTTTGCATATGAAAGAAAAACACACTTTCAAGGTTGTCCTTTACCCTTGCTAGGAACTGGTTAGCCTTGAGAGGGGCAATCACTCCAGGGTCAGCACAGCCCATAATCAAATCATCAGAGTAAAAAAGCATGCATAATACAGTCACTGTACTGAACTTCCTCTCAAAGTAATAATAGTAGCTACTGTTGAGATCAAGCACAAATTAGACATCTCTTTCTTTGCCCTTTCCTTCCTTCCTCCCTACTTTTCCTTCCTTCCTCCTTCCCTTCCTTTCTTCTTTCCTTCTTTCTATCCCTTCTTCCCTTCTTTCTCCTTTTCTTGTTTTCTCTTTCTCCCTTCTCTCCTCTCCTCTCCTCTCATCCCTCTTTCCTCTCTTGTCTTTCTTCATCTCTTCATTTCAACAAATATTAATCAAACACATACTAAAAGCGAGGCATTATTCTAACTGTTTATTTTCTCATGTAACCCTCACAGAACCTTAGGAATTAGAAAATACTAGTCTTGTTTAGTAGACGAAACACTGGGCACAGAAAGGTCACACAGATCACAGGCAGCAGATCTTGTGTCCAAAATAACTCCTGTTTCATTCCAAAGTCTATGTTTAAACATTATGCTAGGGGTGCCTAGGTGGCTCAGTCAGTTAACTGTCCACCTCTTGATTTTGGCTCAGGTCATGATCTCAGAGTTATGAGATCAAGCCCCACATGGGGCACCACACTGAATGTGGAGCCTGCTTAAGATTCCCTCTCTCCCTTTCCCTCCCCACTCCCCTACTTCCTCTGCCTCTCCAACCCCCACATGCCCATGCACTCTTTCTCTTTGTCTCTAAATATATATATATATATATATATATATATACACACACACACACACATACACACATACATACATATACATATATATGCTAAGCACACAATATACGCTATCATACTCCTAAAGTCTGACATGTTTGAATCTAAGAGTCACCCATCCACCAAACTGAGAACTGATTTGTCAGCTAGACTCAGAAAATATTAAGTACCTGGGAAACTACAGTGACATTTTATTCATTTATCCAACAAAAATTTACTGGGCATCTGGTTTCTAGACTAAGTTCCATCATTTATGAACTGTGTAACATCAGGGAAGTGACTTAATCTTTTTAAGTCTTGGTTTTGCCATGTATGAAATGCAGATAACAATACTGGCCATGCTAATATATCAAGCTTGTTTTATAAATCAAAGGAGATACACAAAAATATTTTACACTTTACCTGTATAATAAGTACATATAATTTCTAGGCCTTGACCACCCATTTCATTGCTGGCAAAAATTTAAGATCAGCATTTCAAAGTTCAATGGCTTCTGAGTAATGAACTGTACCTCTGCATCAATCACATAAAAATTTGCTAATTTTATTTTAATTTTTTACATTTTAATTCCAGCATAGTTAACATACAGTGCTGTATTAGATAAAATTTAAATCTTAATTTCATTATAATGAAACTCCAAATCCTTTCTTACTTTGCAGGTCAGGACTATATAAGGAAAACATGGATTATATCTAACTTTGAGTCTCCTGGAGACATTGCTAAACCATCAAGATTTGGGTTACCATGGTGAAATAAAGTAAGTTGATTTTTTATTCACATAGTCCTCTATTAGGATACCAAACACTGAGATCTATTTTTAGAAGTTTCATGTGTGAAGCAATCAATTTCTTTTTTTTAAAGATTTATTTATTTATTTTAGAGAAAGAGCATATGTGAGTGGGGGAGGGGCAAAGGGAGAGGAAGAGAGAATCTCAAGCAGACTTCCCACTAAGCATGGAGCCTGATGCAGGGCTTGATCTCATGACCCTGAAATCATGAAAGATTTCAGCTGAAATCAAGAGTTGGATGCTCAACCAACAGAGCCGCCCAGATGCCCCTGAAGTAATCAATTCCATTAATTGAAAATACTTAAGAAATCTTTGCTTAAATTAAGACAGTCTTCTTGGTCTTCGAAATACAAGCAGAAAACTTCAAATTCCAACCATTATAGACTATCATGAGTCAGATTTACCATTTCACCTGAAACAACTTAAAAACAGGACAAAATATATGAAGCAATGTTTTTTCAGATGTTTATACCAGGCAGCACAAAACAGTGATTCCCTAAAGAAAGAAAAATAAATGAGGCAAGCTAAGCTTATGGAACAAGAAGAGGAAATCCAGACCCCAGAATTCTTCTTTCACTAAAGAGATGGCATTTGGAGTTCAAGAAGGCCAAGGAGGCTAGAATGCACAGTACAAAGAAGTGGAGAAGAGAGATCCCCCAGAGAGTTCTCTCTGGAGATTTCTAAAGAGTTGCTCTTGAGTACTGGCTAATGTATCCATTTGAGGAAACTACCCATGGCCTGGGGGTGGGGAGAAAGAAGAACAAAAGAAAGAGACAGAAAAATTTTTAGGTCTTGCACAAAGGTTGAGAATAGTTCAGGTCAACTTAAAATAGACTGTTATAATTATAAGCTGTTATATGTAAGCCTCATGGTGACCACAAAGCAAAACGCTATAAAAGGGACACAAAAGATAATGAGAAAGAAATCTAAACATATCACTAAATAATCATCAAATCACAAAGGAGGAGACCAAGAGATAAAGGAACAGAGGAACTACAAAACAACCAGAAGGCAATGAACAAAATGGCAATAAGTACATACCCATCTATAATTACTTTAAATGTAAATGGACTAAATTCTCCAATCAAAAGATACAGAGTGACTGAATGGATAAGAAGAAATAAGATGCATCTATATGCTGCCTATAAAAGACTCAAATCATATATAAGGATAACACACAGACTGAAAGTGAAGGGATAGAAAAAGATATTCTATGCAAATGGAAACCAAAAGAAAGCTGGGGGAGCTATAATTACATCATACAAAATAGACTTAAAACAAAGATAAGATGGAGATGAGAGAGTTCATAACCATCAGAGCTATACCACAAATATTAAAAGACCTCAGGGAGAGGAAAAAGATAATTCTGGATCTACACCAAAACATTGAAAAGTGCTGGAAATAGTAATATATGGATGAATAAAAAATATATTTCTTATTTAAAAAAAACTCTTTAAAAGAAAATTTACTATTAAAGCAAAAATAAGGGCACCTGGGTGGCTCAGTGGGTTAAAGCCTCTGCCTTCGGCTCAGGTCATGATCCCAGGGTCCTGGGATCGAGCCCCACATCGGGCTCTCTGCTCCGCGGGGAGCCTGCTTCCTCCTCTCTCTCTCTCTGCCTGCCTCTCTGCCTACTTGTGATCTCTGTCTGTCAAATAAATAAATAAAATCTTTAAAAAAATAAAATAAAAATAAAGCAAAAATAAGAACAATGCACTATGGGATTCATAACATAAGTGCAACATTTGGCAATAGCATACACAGCTGCAAAGAGGAAAGGAAGATGTACTTGATAAGGTTCTTATACTATAAGTATTACAATTTTGTTTGAAAGAAGAATATAATGAGTTAAAATGCTAATTAAAAAGATAAAAAGGATACATATGCATATTTAAATAATAAAAGATTAAAAAGAGGAAAATGAAACAAGAAACAAATAAGATAAATAGGAAATAAATATCAAAGTATTAGATTTAAACCCAACCATATCAAGAATTACATTAAGTATTAATGATCCAAATGTACCAATAAAAGGGTGTGATGTTCAGATTTCATTTAAAAAGCAAGATTTAACTAAATGCTGTCTACAACCAACACATTTAAAATACAAGACATACTAAAAGTAGAAAGATGGGAATGATACACCATGTTAACTCTAATGAAATGAAAGTCACCTTGGTTACATTAATGTCAAACAATGGTTACATTAATGTTAAACAAAATGCATTCCAAAGCAAGGGACGCCAAAAAGTGAATTCATCAAGAGAACATAACAAACCTAAATGTTCATGTCCTTAATAATATAGCTTTAATTTACATAAAGCAAAAACATAAAACTTAAAGGAGAAATAGACAAATTTACAATTACAATTGGAGAATATAATATCTCTTTGTCAGTAATTGATAATAAGCAGTAATAATATAAAAAATTGGACAAATGATCAAATAACTTGATCAATCAAGTAGCAATTACAGAATACTCCATATAAAGCAGAATACAGATTCTTTTTAATCATACATGAAATACTTAAAAGATTAAAGCATATTCTGAGCCATAAAACAAGTCTCAGTAAGTTTAAAATGATGAAATCATATAAAATATGTTCTCTGATCACAACAGAATTAAAGTAGAAATTAAAAGCAACAAACAAAAATCCTGGAAATCTCCAAACATTATGAAACTAAACAACACACTTCTAAATAACCTATGGTAAGAGAGAAAAAGGAAATTAGAAAACATTTTGAACTGAATTAAAATGAAAACACAACATACCTGTAATTTTTAGCTGTTCTCTTTTTCTCACATTTCCTATTCAATCCATCAAAAGTTAATTAGGGAAGCAACTCTATCTTCAGAATACGCCCTGAATCTGGTCACTTCTCACCACCTCTATTGTTAATTAACTACACCTCATTCAAGCTACCATTGTATGTCTCCTGGATTAGTATAATAGCCTCCTAACTGAACTAGACTTCTCCCTTGTCCCTAGTTTATCCTCAGTACAGTAGCTACAGTGATTTGTTAAAACCTAAAATAGTTTATGTCATTGTTTTGCTCATGGAACTGTAAGAGAATCTTATTTCACTCAGAGAAGGAAAAAAAGAAAAAAAAAAAAAACCCAAGTCCTTGTAAAGAGTGCTACCTGATTTGCTCCCCGATTACTTCTCTGGCTCCATCTACAACTTCCTTTGCCCATTCTGTTCCAGTTACCCTGTAATCCTTGTCCTTCTCACACATACCATGGATATAACCACCTTAGCAACTAACCTCTGAATACTTCCTCTACTTAAAACACTTGTTTACCCAGATATCTTCTTGTTAACTCTATCTTCTTCTTTATTTTTTACTCAAATGTCACCTTGTCCACCTAGTCCATAGCCTACACTAACTACCCTAGTTGAAGTTGTAGTCTCTCAGCCCCTCTTCCTCTTACCCTGCTTTCTTCGACACACTTCTAATGTATTCGGTGATTTGCTGATGTATGATGTTTATTGTTATCTGTTGATCTCTGATAGACTATAAGCTATACTGCCAGGAGTCAGGAAAATTCTTTGTTTTGCTCACTGATGTATCCTAAGCATCTAGAGCATGGCCTCTTAGAATTCAATTCGCACATATTAGAATTCAATAAATATCTATGAAAGTGAACTAAACAAGGGAAGGGGTAGAACGTCAAGATACTCTCAGGGATACATGCCGATACACAAATTCTGACTAGTCCCTCTCGTGGCCAAATTGAAAAAGGCCATTCCTAAAGACCTCATCAAAATCAGGTTCCTTGTGCTATCTTCTTAGCACTCAGCTATTTTCTTTCCTAAAACTTATCATTATTTGTAATTATGCATTTATTTATGTGATTTGTTACTTTAATGTCTAGGTAGGTATCTCCATGCTGGCAGAGAACATGACTGTTTCCTTCACATTATATCCCCAGCATCTTGTAGGCCAATACTTGGCACATGATAGTCACACAGTAAATATTTGATTAATTCATTTATTAATTTATTTAACAAATACTTATTGAGCTGCTATTGTATACCAAGCACTACTCTAATCACTGGGGACACAGATATGAATGCAACAGTCTCATCCCTTGTGAATCTTGTATTCTAATGGGGAAGAAAAACAATAAAGAAGCTGGAATATGTGACATATATTACATGATGATGAGAGCAATACAGAAAAGCAAAGAAGGGTAAAGGTTACAGTGAACATCAACTGATAAATAAATGATGGAAGGAGACTGAACCTAGCCAGTGAATTTTCACCAGGCCAGCTTCGGGACATGGGGTTTCCCTCATCTAAAACCTTGGAGGTGGTTGAGTAGCGGGGAGGGAGGTAGTTAAGCAAAAAGAAGCAGAAAAGTGGGCTATGAGCCAAGTAAAAACCAATCATCTAAAATTGGGAGTCCCAAAATACCCCCCAAAAATGGAGAAAAGCAAGTATCAGCACTCACATTATACCTGGTACATAGTATACTTGATTAAAAGATGGGGTCCAGAACCAAGATTCCAGGAAACAGATATATGAGAATAAAGGGATTGGGGAGCAAATGAGGTTAGGCTACGTATATCAATATTGTCAGTTTCCCGCTGTTTTATGTGCATATCAGAGAAGCACACCGATTTCTTTATTCACCTGTCTTTGACCTTTGAATGTTCAAGGACATCAAACCATGAGAACTAGTGAAGAATTGCATTTATAAGTGATAAACCTGTTTCATCCTTAAACAGTCATTGGCTAAAGCTTCTTCTGTTGAATTAAATCCATTCCGTTAAGGGCTTTGTATGCAAACCTATATCCTTAAGAGATTAAAGATGCAATTTAGACACACATTTTAGGAGCTGAATGCACGAATCATTATTTTAGTACATATTGTCCATTAATCTGCTGTTCAATTGGGAACCCATTTGGAATGTGGCTGCTTGCTAATTAGCAGGATTCTAGTGCTGAGCTGCTTCCTGATTA